GACCGCAATATTTATTCTGCGGTCTGGCAGCCCGTTAATAAAAATGTCCACTTAGATCTTGATCAGGAATCTGATCTGCCTGGACTACCGCTATAAATGTAACACTTAATGTTCAAAAAGAGAGCCATAAATCACTTTAATATTGGACACTGGTGGAAAACAGAGCGTTTTTTGAAAATATCTGGGTCTAATTAAGTTGTAAGGAGCGCCCCGGGCCTGAGGATAGGGTCTGGTGATCACATGAGGTCTGGTTAACACGGGACCCCCCTACCTCTACGCCCCCACCACCGCTTGCCTAAACCTCCAGGTTGTGCCCTCAAAACTCGAAGGGGGGTCTGCAGTGCAACAGACATATACATAAGGAATATGTCACCAGAATGAATTTAATTTAAGAAGTAATTTAGTACATTTAGCAGAACAGACATCTTCTTTACAGCCAAGTCATTATTCCACATCTGAAATTTGTTTAGACAGACTAGATCACCAGCTGTGACTTTTTAGATGTAGCTGTGACTTCCTTCACCATGCAAAGCTTACACAACCTCCCAGCTCCCAGATAGCCTCTCATCCTGTCCGCCCCTTTTATTTTTCTGTCCCTTGGCCCGACTTTTACTCCCACTCTGCCTTTTTTTCCCTTCACTGAATTTTCTCTCAAGGGAAGATCTAAGTGAGTAGATTTATTCATTCAAAGAGTTCTGAATTACATTACAGCAGCCCAGCAGTCACATGTGCCAAAGTCTTCAACAACTGAGCTCCCCAGAGACTGTTAGCCCAAAGGTTAGCCTTATATCCCTACCAAATGAGTTATGATTTTTCACTAAATCTCTCCAACCCACTCCAGAGCAATTGTGAGTGACACTCACCAAGCTCATGTTGGGTGATATTATACAGATGTGAGGTGGTTTATCACAGAAAGCCTTTTTTTTTTTTAGAAATGTCCTCATTGAAACCTAAAGCTACACTGAGTTGCATATTATGAACCCTTAAAGTTGTGGGAGATATAGTTAAAATTTATATCCCGGTATTTAACATTTTAAAACATGATAACAATATATTTTTATTGAGGAATTGTTAATAAATAAAATGGGTTCACAGGAATATCTGTTTTTAGCTAATCCAACAATTTAAATATGTTTGTTTCCAATTTAAATCATGGGAAGAACTGGAAAACCTCCCATTATTCTGGCAGTTGAAACCAGATACAAACAAACAGTGTATGGCTCTTTTTGAATTAGCTAAATTGATCGTATCAGTGTCATTATTTAGATGTACTGCCACTTACAACCATTTTGCCAATGGTTTTTTGACACTTCTGTACTTCTTTTTGCCAAGTGGGAGATACAGTTGCTGTCAGAAATTCCTGATATAATTCCCACTTGGCTGAATATGGCATAATAAATCCAGATATATCAAAGACTTAGCTACCACTGAATAAATAGTATGGCAAGCTGACAAATTTATATAATCTCGCATTATATACTGTAGAACGCCCACTGCTAAACCCAAGCAACATGGATATATACTGTCTGGATCATAACAACATAGCCAACAAGAGAATAACAAATCCCCTTTACTCGCATCCCAAACACAACTCATGAAGTGTTTAGTGTGTGTGTTTGTGTGTGTGTGTCTGCAGCAGACACACTAATGCTGCAGGCTACCGGCTCTATATCCCTGTAATGCTGCATGAAGAGGAAATCCAGGTTTCATGGATTTCATCTGACCCTGTCTGTGTGCGTGTGTTTTGTGCTGTGTGTGTGTGTGTGTGTGTGTGTGTGTGTGTGTGTGTGTGTGTGTGTGTGTGTGTGTGTGTGTGTGTGACATAAACCCAGCTGGTGCTCACAAACTCCTGTGCTTCTGAAAAAAAAATAAGAAGGAAAAGGCCCTGCGATTCTCCATAATCCCGTAATAACCTTTCCACTGCTCCCCCTTTGACACAAATGTTTGCCCACTGTTAGTATGTTATGCCTGGACATCTGGAAAAGTTTAGCTGCTTTTGTTCTCTCCACAGCCACCATAATCACGTCCACAGGCACAAACACCTTCTTTACATTAGAAAACCCAAGATTATGATTTAAAGCTTCCTGGTTACGGTTGGTTTAGATCTATAGATTTTTTTAACAAAATAATCAGACCTAGCTAGGCAGAGTTTTATGCCTCTAGGTGCTTTAATGAGTGTCTGCATGTACTGAAGCCCTCCTCTTTTTGGTTGTACTTTGACCTGTAACACTTGGTTGAGCATCTGAGTGAGCCAGGCTACAGTACAGTATGTATGCGTGATGGTGCCACAGAGCAGCCAGACCCAACAATACATCAAACTTTAATATGGAATAATAGCACTGCTGACAGCTCTCATAAAATCGCCCCCCTTCCCAAGCAGACGATTTCTCTGCCAGATAATGGCTCTGATCTGGGCCTCATGCCCCGCTCACACACACACACACACACACACACACACACACACACACACACACACACACACACACACACACACACACACAACTGGCTCACCTGTTCAACCCTCACAATTATACCTTCTGTCTGTGTGTGTGTGTGTGTGTGCATGTGGGAAAGTGTATGTGCATGTCTCAGCCAGCTGCTATTGTTTTTATCCTGCGCGTCCCTAGGTGAAGAGTGGCAGGGTGTTTCCGTGGCAGGGAAAAAAATGAAGCTTTGATATCCTCTAACAGGCTGTGACAGACATGAGAATGTTTTGAGAAATAAAGACTGTTTATATACTAGTCTGAAGAGTTACACAGGGAAAGAAGAGTGATCGGCCTGTGGATGAATTATGGATACCACATGTCTAAAGCTGGAGCCCACTCTTGAGCCAGAGTGCTTTTCAAGGATGGGTAATTGAAGTGCGCTGCTAAAGGATGCTAATATTACATAGAGAAAGCCACAGTAGCTCTTTTAGTGTACTGAATGAATATTGTAAGTAGCATTAGGTTGTTGAGGTGGATTGCCTGTTGCGTTAGGAGTTCTTGCTAATATGCAAATACATCCATAAATACAATCAAGACTCATGCACACTTCCACACCCTACTATATATCAGTCAAATTCTGTTCTATATTCAATCCTTCCTGCAAGTGCACACACACATACTCTCTCTGTCTCACTCTCTGTGTATCTCTCTCTTCTTTCTCAGACACACATGTACACACACAGATGCCTGAGAAAGAGAGAGAAAGCCCACTGAACTGGAAAAGCATTTGTCTCAAGATGAAAGGCTTCACACCCACTGCCTACATGCAGAGCCTCTTCCGACACCTTCCCGCGACAGCGCATACTGTAGCAGAGGCTTGTGCTACGCAGACCCACTCCAGCTAGCATCCCTCCCCACACCCATCAACGCCGCAACACACTTGCATCCCCTCCTCTCTTTCACTCCCTTTCTCTCTCTTCCTCTCTGTCAATGGAGCTCTGATACTACAGTAGCAGCCAGGGGACAGAGAGGCACATAAGCGGCATGACTTGAACAACGTTGAGAAGGATAAGCTCCCACGAAAGCCCGAGGCACAGTCAGCCTTGTTTTCTCCGTCGCTGGTGTAGCACGGTGGGCTCTCAGGCGTGGAACATGCTTAGCCACACGCAGGGCGTGAAAAACGACACTGACCATGATGCTAGATAATTGCTTCCCATTTACTCATGTGCTGACAGCCTCAGACAAAAATAGCATGTCGCTGTAACGAATGTGCTGGGAAGCATGGGAGCTGTGAGTGCTGTGGCCATGGATCGATACAGAGTGGACAGCATCTTGCAAACATAAAGTCTACACAGCATCTTACAATCACAGTCTGTACAGCACCTAGCAACATACAGCCTATACAGCATCTTACTATATATATTCCTAGTCCTATTATCTACCAAGATGCACTGAATACAGCATCTTATAATCATAGTCTATGCTACATCTTATGTAGCATTATATATCTCATATATAATCCACACAAGATCTTCCACATGTATTAAAGATAAACACAGCTTCTGTCTGTGTGTCTTCTAAGCTACTGTAGTTAGTGGGTAGGTGATAATCCCAAGAATGGACCAGACATTTACACAGGCCTAACTGTTGTTTTTTTACACCCCAGTGTTACCTGCATCACATCTGCAGACTGCCCATCGGTCTCCAAACTAACCCCCCGGCCACAATTCTCAGGACCTGTTTACTCCCGTGAGCCGTTCAGAGAGAATATGCCCTGCCCCTGTATAATTGTCCCATGTCAATGTTTTTGTTCCAAATATTAGACATTTTAGATCCACACTGGAATTGATATCTAGTCCAACAATGGCTCCAGAGACGCAGCAGCACTTTACGGAAATTTACTGTGACAAGGCATCAAGACTGAGCCCCTCAGGAGATGATCCATGCATCTGGGATCTGTGTTCCCCTCATCGATGCATACAACAATTACAGTCCTCATTATCATCACCACAGGAGGCACGCACACATATATAGGTGCTGTGTTGCCCTGCTGCACAATCACAGTCATGTAGTAATAATATAGCACTTGGGTCAGATGGAATACATCAAGCCATAAATTAATCTGATTCACTCCACCTTACAGAACATGTGCCATGCATATCTTACATTTCATAACAGCCACAGCAGTCACCCATACATCCAGCATATCTACCACTCAGGAATAGCTCCACACATGAATGTCCATCAACAAAAACCTCTTAATATTTCATCTCCAAGTGTTACAAGATTACATCAAGGTGAGGCAGGGAAGGAAAATGATCAATCTAAGCTAGAAAAACACATTCAAGTTTACCATAAAGCCATGGCAGTACAATAGCAGACAGTATAACCACTGCAGTGCAGTACTGTATACAGCCAGGTGCTGATATTCCTGCCTTTTAGAGCCCACACAAGGCTAACCATGCTGGGTAACTGATCAACTACAGCTGCCTGCACAAGCCCAAGGCAAACAGAGAGAGAAATAGAAAGCAGAGGGAGACGACCGGCGACGAGGCTGGCCGCTCCTGTACTCACCAGCACTGGCAGAACACAGCAGAGACACCAAGAGCACAATCACCAGCGTCAGGATCTTCACATTCATTTCTGCACTCCCCTCTGGCTCTCCGCTAGTCACTCGCTGATATACTGTAGTGGTGTGTGTGTGTGTGTGTGTGTGTGTGTGTGTGTGTGTGTGTTTGTGTGTGTGTGTGTGTGTGTGTGTGTGTGTGTGTGTGTGTGTGTGGATGGGAGGGAGAGAGAGTGAGGGAGAGAGAGAGAGAGGGAGAGGGGGAGAGAAAGAGAGAGAGAGCAGCTGAGCGAGCAAGAAAGAGAGAGAGACTGTTTGCTCCCCTGTGTGTGTGTGTGTGTGTGTATGTGAGAAGTGAGTGTGTCAATTTGTGTGTGTGGTGGCTCCCTGACTGTGCCTGTGTATTTGTCTAAATGCGTATTTGTATATCAGTGTGTGACAGCGCCACTCCAAGACTGAAGGAACGTCTTTATCTGAGCTCTCCCACGGAGGTGTGTGTGTGTGTCTCTCCTTTTCTTCTGTCAGAGAAACGGCAGCATGAGCCAAGTTCAGTGGAGCTGTGAATGTGCTGGAAGTCCGCTTGCAGGTCTGTCTGTCGACGTGTGTGTCTCTCTGTGTGTGTGAGTCTAGTTGGTCATGTGGCTTATGTATCATTGACTCTGTGGGTCACGGAAAAGCCTCCCTGCCCCACCATCACCCACCCTCTCCACCCCTTTTCCACAAACATGCAAGTGCACATGCACTGAGGAAAGAGAAGGCGAGAGGTAGCAAAGGGAGGGAGGGAATGGGGGGGGAGGTGAAGGGTGGGGGTGCATGCAGGTTTATGATAATACCCAAACAGATGCTCTTGTTGAAAACTCTTTGAATCGCAAACAGGGCAGCTTGCCAGGAATCCAGGAATCAAAATACCAGCTTATTGGGGGAAGTAGATGAAAGAAGGGAAGGTGTGAGAAGAGGTTCATGCCTTCCTGCTTTTGTATCTACGCCAGCTGTATAGACCTTTCTTCCTCACACTATTCTTTACCCACAGTCGCACTGGCAGCCCCGTCTAGCTGAAGGTATGACTTAAATCATTCGCGCTGTTTGAAGTTAGTGTCCGTGACACTGGGAGTAACCGCAGGAAAAAACTTATCAGACTCTACCTGATCCCATCGCTTGCACTATTTGTTCCACTGCCCCTGAAGTCATTTGTTTTATTTTGCTACATAGATTATATTCTTTCCATGAACAAAAGCTGCAAGAAAACCACCACCCTGCATGGCTGTAGAATAAATCAACTTATTTTTTTTCCATTTGTTTATCACACAATAAACAGGAAAGGTTGCATTTCTTGATGTGAATTGTGAGAACTGTAAGCAAGCACTAGAAGTACAACACGTTTTCTTATCGCGTTTAGCCATAGAGCAACATCAATGCGACATGTTTCTACTACCACTTGAGAATAAAACTGTTTAGGAAGGGCTGTAAATTAAAGCTTTAAACTACATGTACAGAATATGACAAAGAAACATTGAACTCCACCCTATTACGCTATTTTATACTCCGCCCTATTACAAGGAGTCTGCAGATCTGGTCCAACAAGACTCAATATAACTAAAAAATGTAGAGAAAACTAATCAACATCAATAGTAAAATACATGAAAGTGAATTCAATTATGTTAAATATAAGTGTTTTTATGAAATGCTCATAGATCCCTAAAGGGCTGAAGTGACACATGATGGATGGACCGCCTTTGGTCACAACCTTCCAGAAACAACCCCCCACCACCACAGGCTTCCACACAACCCCTTTTCTATGTGTTGTCACTAAACAGTCACTTTAGTGGTATAGACCTGAGAAGAGGGGCCCTGTGACCCTCGACTCTGCAGCTCCCGCTTCACACAGCCCGGCCATTGTCTCCCTAAGGCCCTGGGTCCCTGAGGGCAACATGTCTGTGCCACCCACTTGAGATCCAACAACAAGAGCACCTTCCATTTTTACATGCAGCACTTGAAGCCTTCACTTCATGTGAAGCAATCCTCTCACCTCAGGGGTGGCCAAGCCCCCGCGGCTAAAGATGCTTATCCAAGCCTGTCCTTTTTTTAGCTGAAAGATAATTCGCCCAAGTGCCTTTAAAAGAATCTGTTCACAGCATTTTCTCAAAGGTGCTCACTGATCACTGACTGAAAGCATGACCAATTCTTTCCAAATGTACATAATGAGATATAGAGGGGATTATAGCGCCATTACCAGCCCACTTAGTAGTTAGGAGTTACTCAAAATTCAATTTACTTCAACATTCAGGAATAATTTCAAAGCAATGTGGGATAACAGTGTGCTCAGTCATTTTAAATTATCAGTTAATGTTGGTATCAAAACTAAAACTGAGGCAAATGTCCAGAATGTGCTGAATCCTGGTGCTACGCATGATCATTTATGACTGTGGATTTACCAATCATTAAAATGTCCTATGGATATACGAATGTGTGAGACATTGTAAAGTTGGCAATATAGGCTCAAACATTTGTGGTCTATTAGCTTTAATTGTCTTAGCTTGAAGCAAAGCCTGCAATAAAAATGTAACAGATGGTGTTTCCTCTGAGTGTATCAGTGGACTGTGTGCCATGACGTGAGTGTAAGCCAGTGGAGGATTGCCTTTTTTTACGTCCAGGGATGTGGAGCGAGACCTGGCAACGCGACACGGGCAGCAACAGTCAGAGGGCAGCGATAAAGCCACATGTGCCTCAACACAGGAAACACTTGGCTGTTTACAGGAAGTGTTTGATGAAGGAATGCGGTGTATGTCTGGATTCAGTCACTGATGACGACTTTTCCTGATTCCTGAGTTTTTAATAACAGGCAGACATTCCACAGATAAGTGTAACATAAATGATGGAAAAGGTATCTTCGTGTTTCCTTTGAGCCACGTTTTCCTTTTCAAATATCAGACTGTACTGCAGAAATTGTCAACAGGTGGCCTCTCAGCTGTGCCTAAATTAGTTCCCTGATCTCAGGAAAGATTTGCTGCATTATTTACTGTATTCACAATTAATGTGTTTCCTGTTTATCATCCGCTTCTATATAAAGCCCCTGATTTCTGAAATGCTAATGAAGTGTGCGGATGTTTATTTGTATTGTTGTTTTGATGATTGAATGAACAGTGGCAGGCCGCTCGTGTTGTTGTTATTGTTGTTGTGCAAAAGTGAACTCCACACTTCCGCGTCCGCTTCCATTTCCAAAAGCTTCCATCAGATATAGCGCACCTTTATTAAAATGGAAAACAAATCAAAACCTCCATCAAGATAAGAGTCACAGTCAACAGCTTGAGTGAGTGTAGAATGTCAACGTGAGATCAGGTCGTGGTTGCTAATTAGCTTCTCCGGAGAGATCAGCAATGAGAGAAGAAAGTGTGACATCTTCATTTGGACATTTCAAAGTCTGGATTTCTTTCTTTTTTTTTTTTTTTTTTTTTTGAAGGAGGAGAGCTGTGTTTTGCTCCTCTGAAGCTTTAAACAAAAATGTGATTCTCCCCTCAGGCGGCCTGTGCTTCGTATCATGAAATGTCAAGAATCAGAGGCTTGGTGGATTAACTTATCTGCCTTTAATCGTGCCATTATCAGCAGCACTGCAAATTCAGCTGAGAAATGTTCTGGGCTCGCCAAAGCCCCCCGGAAGATAGGGCAGCAATTTTCTGCCAGTCTGTGGTTCTCATTCTGTCGTATTGCCTCAGAGAAACCACACACTTACACACATTTTCTGTCATTTCATACTTGCATGAATAGAGTTCCCAGTAATCATTAAAAGACTATAAAGAACTGCTGTTGCCCTGAAATGCAGCAGTTAACAATTATCTTACAGTTTCTGCAAAACACACTTGTTTATACGTAGTGAGTTATTAACTCAGTAAGTTTCTGTCTTTTTGGGAAGAAATTACGACCGACAGGAGATCTGTGTAGCCCTAAATTTGAACACCAGCTGGAGTTTATCTCTTCTAATGATGGACAGACTCTAAACTCCGTCATGAACTGAGAATAATTACAAACCCTTCACATTAGAGTGCTGCCGGTCCAGAGAGGAAAGCAATTTACACAACAGTAATCATATAAATACAAATTAACTTATCATCTTCCTCCCCTTCTTCTTTCTACTTTGACAGATTAATTGTCAGTTGTGTAATTTTTAATCCAAAATAAACCAAATAGAAATTATTACATTTTTCATCATGAGCTTCCAAATCGTTTTCACTGCTGGTCTTTTCCTGAATCAACCAGACAAATTAACCCCTGGGACCATATGCTGTGGTGTTGCGTGACTCTCATATAGTTGTCTCTATAATCAGTCCAACATGGCTCATCATTTTTTGGAAACAAAGGGGCCCGCAGATCTGAGAGAGATGCATTGTGAGATGACAATCCACTGTGACCGCCTAGATAAAAAGGCAACTTTTTATTTCCAGGGAGCTCTTTTCACCAGCAGTTTTATTAATCATAATATCCTTGTCAGGTGACTTCCATCTTAGTGGATTTACAGGCACAGAGGGCAGATTTTTATCCTGTGATGTTGCACCTGCAAGAGGTGCGTTTTCAAAAAATCTATTCACATCACAGAGTATGTGTCCAAATCATGAAATGGTCTCGTATTTTACCGTACATTTGTCACTCTGGTTTGCAGCAAGGGCAGGATCAAACTCAAAGAGCATGTACAAAACACGCTTGGCACCCTCATAAGCCTGTCAAACCCAGATTCTCCATAGATATTGTACATCAACAAATAAGAGAGGTCTTTTGAATCCGTCTGCACTCTCCGCCGTCTAATCAGTAATAAAAATCTACTGAGGGTTTTCTCCAGGTGGCAGGTGATACCAACCCAGCTCCTGACATCACCCTCAGAGCTCTGTGTTTCACTGCTAGTGTTGAATGCCTTTTCAATACTCAGAAACGTTCTTGAGTTTGACTCCTCACCTTTAACTTTGCTGCGCTTGTTGATGTGTATTGGTATGTGCTGCAGAGAGGGGAATTGGTGGCAGCGTGCCAGCTTTTCACATGCTCCCGTGTACTTAAAAATACCAATCTTCTGGTCCCCGAGTGCACTATTCTTCAGGAGTGTTTTTTTTTTTCTCTCAGTATGCCGAAGATATGATGATCATCCACCCTTCCTTTATTGTAGCAGAGGATCAAATAGAGTCAAAACAAGCTAAATAGACGAGGTGTTGTATCTAAACCGCTCTCTTCCTCCTCCTAATATTGTTGCACTTATCAGAGGTTTAATCTGTCTGAACATGTGGCATGTAGTTTAGAAATGGCTGATCTGTTTCTTATGGATTCTGGGTTTTTTTAAGTGCTAGGGACCAAGCATGCTGTGGCTTGGTCTCGCTGACATACAGTGAGACAGAGAAATGTGACTTGACAGACGAGAGATAAGGAAATGTTTTCTGGGGGAGAAGACAGACTCTGAAAACAGACATGAGGTGTCTTTGAAAACTCACAAAGCCTGAGTCTGTGCTGCGAATTGAAGGAGCTGAAGATCAACGTCTGCCGGAACCCAGTTCGCTGAACCTTTCACTAGATTTACTAATTTCTTCCGCCTTGATACAAGTTGCAGGATGTTTTAAGCAGCAAGAAAAGTGCTCCTTTTGAAAACAGGT